TCCATGTCAATTTCTAGTATCCACGAAGACGTGTGTGTGGGCACACATGAGACAAAACGGGTTACAATAAACACTTGAATTTCCACTAACACCAACGCATGCACGATGTGAAATTTTTGGAGAAAAATTTTTCCTTCCCTTGCTCTAAGAGAATTTCGGCCATAATACAATATTAGGTCAAAAAATTGTTTCAAAAATTGTTTATACAATTTTCTACTATTCTCTTATTTATAGAGTAGAAGTCAAACTTCTTGAAAGAATCCAATCTCTATCTCCAAGATAAAGCTTGTCAATTATCTCCTATTTGAATTTGGAACATAATCTACTCTATCCCTTATCCATTGTGGCCGGCCACCTTAGAGGATTTTCATCCCTGTGTGGCGCCAATTTGCAGATAGGAAAGGAAGAGAAAATCATCCTTTATCCTGTAGTCCAATTCTGACTCAAATTCAAATTTCAATTTAAGTCACACTTAAATTAATTTGAATTCTAAATTGAACAACTTATCAAGTAAGTTTAAATGGATAAATCTAGATGTGTTCAAATTCAAATTTAAATAATCACATTATTTAAATAATAATTAATTCTCAATTAATTATTTTCAAGTGCTTAATTTTAGAATTCCGTAATTCTAAAATTCCCATTTTGCCTCTGTGTCTGGCAGAATTACCAGGACGACGCGGGGCCTAATGGACCTATAATCCCGAGCTCCAATAAAATTAATAATCAATTAAACACTTTAATTAATTAATTAATTCTATTAATTCCAATAGTTACTCCACTATAAACTTGGAATTGCACTCTCGAAATTATAGATATAAATTACTTCGTGTAATAACATTCCGGGCTACCTACTTCATCATGTCTCCAAAATACAAGGAATAGGATTCAGGATTTCAGAATTCGTACCGAGTAAATCAAAAGGCACAAATCCATAAATAGGAGTCTGTTATGAACTCAGGATTAATATCATTATATATATGACCATCGGTAGACTCAATTAGAATTTCTATACTTAACGGAAATTATTAGAAATTCATATTGTGTCTATGTCCTTGTTCCACATAATCTCATTATGCGAAATACACTCATTCAATATCTCACAATACTAACAGTGCGGATAACACCATTCCATTCTAAATGGGAATGATATGTATTAATAGTGTTTTAATTAAAGATTCTGAACTTTAATTAAATTCATTATGAACATTGCTTTTTTATTATTATCCTTAAATATTATCCTCTCATATATAACACTTATATACAATGTTTAAGGTCACATAAATAATCATGCAATTTTTATTGATATTCATAAAATATTCATAAATATATGTACATAAAATAATGAATAAACTTTTTTATTAAATAAATAATAAATATCCTATTACATCTTATGCTTCTAGGACACCATTCCCACACTTAAGGCATGTTTCTGAACTCTTAATTTCTTTTTGTATTTTTCTTCCTTGTTAGTATAAGAATTAAACGAGAAACTTGGAGTGATTAGAGGTGTCAACTTAATTATAATATATAAGTAAAGTTATGATTGCAGTTGTTTATTTAAAAAAACAAAACAAAAAAAAACTCTGCATTTAATACGATTTGAATCAATAAGAAAGCAGGTAATCTAATCCTATATAGTTGAAGTTTTGTTGAAGTGGACTTTGGAAAATAGAACCATATTAATTGTCCGCTTCAAGGTGACACCATACCTTTCATGCGCTAAAAAGTAAGATGAGCATCATTTCATTAGGTATTAACCATAAATGTTCAGTTTTTCACAAAGTCTCCAATGATGTTACTATCAGACGGATAAAATGTTGGTACATCCACTTCCTTTAATATTCAATCCAAATTGCAAAATGTTGTACCAACATTTTCAATTTGCTCCTCATTTTCATAGCCTTCTTGTTGTAAACCTAATCTTTAAATACTTAACAAGAACAACCATCCACCTCTCTTATCAGAAAATTAAAAAGAAAAAAGAAAAAAATGGAAAAAGAAACCAAGATAAAAGAACTCTATACCAGCTCGTTGATGCAAATAAGGCGGCTATACTTACAGTGTGTTTGATAGGGTGGAAAAGAGAGTAGAAAGAAAATAGATGAAAGATTTTAGTAAGAAAAATGAAATTTTAGATTGTTTGGTAGAGAGAAAATGAGGAAGGAAAGAAAATGAAAATCTATAGAGCCTACTAATTTTTAATCCTTCCGGCTTTAGAAAAAAAAGAGGAGAAAAAAAGTTTAACAAACAAATGAGGTGTAAAAAAAAAATTTTAATATTTATCGTTCATTATATTTTTATTTATAGTAGGATACTATTGTAAAATGTTTTAGATTTTACATTTTTTTTTACTTTTCTTTCTCTTCTACTAAATAACATGAGAGAAAATTATTTTACTTCATTCACTTAAATATTTTACATCTCCTTTTTCTTTTCTATCCTACCTACCAATCATAACATTACTTCTTATGCGTCCCTTTTTTTTTATAAAAAAATTCTCTATTAATAAAATAAAAATGGTAATAATAATAATTATTATTATTGGTGATTGCTTGTATATGTCTTTCTAGTGTTTAGAAGGATAGATAGCAAATTTTTCAAAGTAGCCCTTAATGATTGTGAGGAGTGAGTAGAGGTTGAATATGAAGGGCCATCGTCTCTTAACTGTTCCGCCAAGTATTATAACTATTATTCAATATCAATACTTAAAACCATGAGTAACGGAAAATTTGAGACATCTAAAGAGTTCAAGGTTTAAGTTAGTACAATTTAGTTCAAGGTTTAAGTTAGTACAATGTTCGATACAAAGGCTAATTATAGAAAGAGAAAAAAGTTCAAGGACCTTTGATGAATTTAACTCTTTTTTAAATGATAAATTACAAAAATTCCTCTCAAATTATAACTCGTGTAACACATTATTTTTTAATTTTTAAAACGTAACATTCACTCATCCCGAAGTATGAAAAGTTAACAAAAAATTCATCTCCGTTAGGGTTTCTAAACCAATACTTGTCACAAAAGAGTTTGGTGCAAAATTATTCTTGTACCCATCACTTTTAAATTTACATTTTTTAAAAATATATTTTAATTTTCATTTAACATCATAACAAATAAAACGAAACAATAAAACTACATTTTTAATCTTACTCTTCTTATTAATAAACTCTTTCAGCCAAAAAAAAAAATTAAAAAAATCATTTTTAAATTTACAATATATATATATATATATTAACTTAACTCACAATATATTTTTAATAGAATTTTTTAAAACACCAATATTCTAAAAAAATGTTTATATATATAGTATATTCTATATGTAAATTAGAATTAAAAAATAGTATTTTAAAGATTTATATTTTTCATGATTTAATCGTTTTTAAGAATAGATAGATCACTAAAATACCTCTAATATTGTATATAATATAATAGTCTTCTGTTAAAAACTTTAATAGAGGGAGTTCTTTTATAAGAGTGCGTTTGGTTTAAGAATTCGTGTCATGGTTCGAATCATGGTTCGTGGCTCGCTTGAAGATTTATAGTTTGAGGGACTAAATGTTACGTCTTGAAGATTAAGGAATAAAATGTTACACGACTCATAATTTGGAAGAACTTTTATAATTAATCCTTTTTTAAATAATAATATTGCAGTGAATACAAAACTCCTATTTTTGTGTGTTTTCCTCCGACTAATATAATAAGCAAAATGCATATGTAGTTAATACTTTCTTAACCATATTATTTGCCTAAAAATATTACATTGTTTAGGGGAACAATATTTAGTATTTGAGTCATTGAATTGTTGTAAAATAGCTTATTCTGGTTTTGGACCTGCGCAGTGTGGCAGCCATTAATAAGTAGACATCCTAATACATTAGGGGAAAAAAAAAAGTAGGCATCCTAATTTTATAAAATTGAGAGTAATAAAATCATGAAAAAAATAAATCAATCAAAATCGATATATAAAATCTATAGAGTTTCACCTCACATTAAGACTACATCTCTCAACCATTGCAGTTTTTCAATTAAAAAGTTTATATGAAATTTTCTCCTGTTTTTCCTTGAATTTCTTTAGTTTTTTTTCCCCTCTAATCTCTTTAGTTAACCCCAAAAACATCACCCCTTTTTATTTTGAAAACTAGAGCAACTAAATTTTACAAGATTGATTTGCATAATCCTCTATATAAGATAATTAATTAGACTACGTAAATTAACAGCAACATACAATAAATTTCACTTTTTTACCTCAATTTGGGCAAATTTAAACATTTATTATTCAAAACACGCTTCTGACTTTTCATTCTTTCGTAGTATTTATTTATAGGTTCTTAGGACAATTCCCTTCTAAACTTGTCGTGCTTTAGTATGTCTCTCCTAAACTTTTAATTTTGACAATTAACTCTTAAACATTAAGCACATTTAACAAACTAACGTTAAGAAATTCGACACATTTGCGGTTTTAAAAGGGTATAAGAGGTATTCTATATGCCTTAATTGTAATATAAAATATCAAAAAAAGTTTAAACTAATCTCAACCATTCATTATATTCTTTTAATTTTAGCCAATAAAAATAAACTTCAGGATCATAACGTGCGTTTAATTGATCAATTCGTATCATGATTTAAATTATAATTTATAATTCATTACAGTATTTTTTCTTAAAAAAACACTCATAAACCGGAAACATAATATTCGTCAACAAATAATATTCGTCAACAAATAAAGCAATAAGATCTTCCCCTACACAAAAGCAAGGAAGAACAAAAAAAAAAGGGAGGAAAAAGAAGAAAAAAGGCCAACAAGGGCATTATCGTCATAAAAAACTGAAAAAGTATAATATAGAGGGTCCTACAAATTGGGTCAGTCTCTTTCTTAACCGTAAATTTGTCACTCAAATATCTCTCTGGCTAAAATAATTTATTTTTATTATTAATAAAATAGTTAAATATAAACACATCATACAAACACACACTCTCTTCCCACACCACCACCACCCACCACCTCTTCTCTCTCTCTCTGTCCAAAAAAAGGGGGAAAAAAAAAACAGAGGCAAAAAGAAGAAGCTAAATACAACTCCGAAAGCCCAAACCAGAATCCCATTATGTCATGTTCCAGATCGAGATTCATTCTGTTCGTCACCATTTTCCTCTTCGTTAATGCCTCTGCTTGCGAAAGTTCTCACCTTCTCCACACTGTAATACGTAAATCCGGTGCGTCTGTATAATTGTTGTTGTCATTTCTCGTTTGAATTTTTCATCGTCGTTTGGAACTAAATATGATTGGTTTTTTGGTTTTGGGGTGTTTGTGAAGAGGGAAAACAAGGAGGTTTTGATGATATTGTAAGATGGGAAACGACAAGAAGGTCTCTTGCGGAAGAGGCAGTGGACAACTCGTCTCTGATATTGGCTGAAGGGAGGACTCGGAGAAGGGACCCACTTGATGGGTTTACGCGCTACAATGGTGGTTGGAATATCAGCAATAGCCACTACTGGGCTGTGAGTCACTCCATTTCTAGATTTTTTTTTTTTTTAAGTTATTATTTAGGTTTTTTTTTTCTTTCATCTGGGTCCTTTTTTTTTTTTTTTTTTTTAATTTTTGTTTTAGTTGCTGTGTTTGTGTGTGTGTGTGTGTGTGTGTGTGTGTGTTTTTTTTTTTTTTTGATGGGTTTGTTGTGTTTGAAAAATCAGTAATGAGTGAGTCACTGTCATCTGGGTTTTTTCTTTTTCCTTTTTATTTTGTTTTTACGAGTTTGAGTTTTCTTGTTTTTTCTTTTTATGGCGATTTTGTTTTAGTGTTATGATTTTGTAGGTTTTGTGATATATATATATATATATATTATTTTTTTTTTCTTGTGTTTATATAGTGGTTTATAACTTACAAGATAACCAGTAAGAAGACTGGGGTGTAATTTCCCTTGATCCCACGTTTTCTTGTTAGTCTTAATTTGTAAGGATTTGAAAGTTTTTTCCCTTCAAAACCAAAAAGAGACCAGAAGAAATGAATTGTCGGTTGATTCTGATTGAAGTTTGTTATAAGATATTAGTAAGAGCAACGGGGTGATAGCTCAATAGATTCAGATTTTATTGGGAGTCTGAATTTGTGAGGATAAGTGTGCTTTTCTTTTTTCTTTCTTTCTTTGTTTTTTTTTCAAGGTAGAAGAGACCAAAAGTGATAAAAGGAATTTTAGCTTGATTCATCTAGCAGTTGATTTGCCAAAGTCCTCTGCTAGAGATTGTTTTTCTGGGATTACATATTGTAAACTTTGTCTTGCGTGTTTTTTTTTTTTTTTCATCATTCCGTATAATTTTTCTTCTGAAAGTCCTTTACTCAGTCTGGTATTTTGTGTGTGCAAACATTGTTAGTTTTTCATGTGGATTATTTTCTGATGCAGTCAGTTGCTTTTACTGCGGTCCCCTTATTTGTCATTGCTGGGATATGGTTCGTGGTGTTTGGACTTAGCTTGTCCCTCATCTGTCTCTGTTACTGTTGTTGTCCTAGGGAGCCTTATGGCTACTCTCGGACAGCCTATGCTCTCTCTCTGATCCTTCTCATCCTTTTCACCATTGCTGCAATGTAAGTTTCCGTCTCTGTTGATTCAAAAAAAACTTTTCAAACACCTGTGCCCGCATACTTATAGCTTGCTTAGGTTACTGATTTGTGATTCCCTCGAATGTTTTCCGTTTGGAAATGTCAGTGTGGGGTGCATTGTGTTGTATACCGGTCAGGGAAAGCTTCATGACAGCACAAAGGACACGCTAAATTATGTAGTACATCAGGCAGATGTAACTGTCGAAAACCTCAGGAATGTGTCAGATTATCTCGCTGCAGCCAAACGGATTGGAGTCGATGCAGTGTTTCTCCCGGAAGAGGTCCAGAATAAAATTGATCAAATTCAAACGAAGATCAATTCTTCTGCGACGACTCTTTCTAAAACAACCCAAGATAATTCAATGCAGATACAAGATGGCCTGGATAGCATGTGAGTTAGATTTTCAATGGTCTTAGAACCTGCACTGATCATCTTATAATGATTTTTTTGGTCACATTTTCCTTCCTCATGTGCAGGAGATTGGCTCTAATTATTGTCGCTGCTGTTATGCTCTTTTTGGCATTTCTTGGATTCTGTAAGTCTCCTGGTTTCTTAAACTATTAAGTAGAAAATTTTTCGTCTTGGATTTTGTAAGTCTTCTTGTTTCTTGAACTACTAATTAGAAAATTTTACCTCTTAGATTTTCACTACATATATATTATTGCTACTGTTTAATGCAGTGTTTTCGGTGTTTGGGTTGCGAGTTCTTGTATACATGTAAGTAGCAAACTTTTTATTTGTAAACTCCTCCTATTCCTTCATGCTTTATACTAATTTATCGGGGATTGTTATGGTTATGTCTTAGTTGTCTAATATCAAGTCACACAATGTTTCGTAATTGCAGCTTGGTGATTGTTGGGTGGATTCTTGTGGCGGGTACATTCATATTGTGTGGTGTATTTCTTCTCCTCCACAAGTAAGCTATGTTTGGCTATGCCTCATGACAGTTTTGCTAATCTAAATTCATGGAATTTTTAATTTCGCTTAGATACCTTGCTTCTTAATTTGATATAAACATGTTCTTCAGATCTCAGATTCCAGATTCTAAATATTAGCATGGTAATGGTCTTCTTAAATCTGTGGACATTTCAGTCTAAATGTTAGGCTGGAGTACGATTTTTAATTAAACAAAAATTCACTATATACTTGCATTTAAATTAAAAAAAAAAGAAAGAAAAAAAAAAAAAAAAACTAAAAAAAAAAAAGAACCTTCAAAGGTTGTTTCAGTTTTAGATTTAAAGCTGCACTTTAGAAAAAAAAAAAAAAAAAAAAAACTAAACAAAACAAAGAACCTTCAAAGGTTGTTTCAGTTTTAGATTTAAAGCTGCACTTTAGCAAGGTGGATAATTTTTATATTAAGTTAGGATTAGGACTCAAATGGAAAATAGAAATTCAATATGAAGGATTGGTTCCATCCTTTTTAATATTTTATAGAATCCTTAGTCCTTCTGTTATATTCCTTCAGGAATTCATAAATTGATTTGTTTCATTTTTGTAATGACTATTTTAATAACTGGTATTGTTAGAACTTAGAATGCCTTCAGGTTAACATCTCTCACAGATTAATTGAGCAAATCTCTGGTGTCTAACCGCTTGTAATTTCAGAACATTATAAATGAGGTTGTTGGCACATTGCAATAAAAGTTCGTCCTTTTACATAAGCAAGCTACTGGGGGAAAGAAATACACTACACTACATTGCTAGAAGCTGCTTGATTTGAAGGAGTTGAAACGTAGATGAAATGACACATTTAATGCCCGATAGGTCGCAATTCATTGCTAAACAATGTTGCACCTTGAATTACAAGTTGATGAGTTTTTAGTGTCTATACTTATAGCTGCTAACTAACGGAAAGTTGTTGAGGATTAAGATAAAACCAAATATCTTTGTCAGAAATGGTTTTTTTTTATTTATTTTTTAAATAAGAAATGAGAGAATTTTATTGGTAAAAGGAAAGAAGAACAACAGGGGACAAGGAGTCCACCAAAGCCGTGAAACTAAAAGAAAAAAACTATCAACACAAAACTAAAGAACGGCTTAATCCCATCCCCTAAGTAAGTCTGAAAAGGAGAAAGCATTGAAGCCATTGACTTGGGACAACCACAGAGCCACACAAAATTTAATTCTTTCCCAAACTACCATAACATCTTTGTCAGAAATGTTTAATGCAGCATAAAGTAAACAAGAGCCTTTGGGTAGGCAAAATTTTATACTTTACGGGCCCACGGGCCCGTTTGATGTGCAACATAAGACAACATTGGATAGGATTGTCTTAGAGGATTGGAAGATGTATAGGAAAGGTTAGGATTAAATTTAACCTTAATCCAATCTCGTGTTTGAGGGGCTTTTTGTGTTGTAAGGATAGGGGCTTTTTGCAAAATTTTTTGAAATTTTTTTGAAAATTTTGGGTCAATTGTAATTTTACAAAATTTGAGGGGTAAAAATATAATTTTAAAAAGTATTTAAGTCACATTCACATACAAATTACTTTTTGGTCTCTCAATTTTAAAAAGTATAGTTTATACCCAAAGTTCATAAATATTTGCAAATAGGTCCCAAATTTTTTTGAATATGTTCCAAATAACCATGTGTTGTGTTTAATCCATGCTTCAGCAAGGGATAACCAAATCCCCTTCTAAGGAGATTCGAGCATGGACTGGATAAGAGTTTATCCAATCCATTCCTTTAGAAATTTTCACCAAACTCAATCTTAAAATTTAATCCTCTCCTGTTAAGCTCCAAATCCATGGTAAGAAGAATTGAGACAGAATTCCAGAAGAAAATCTAACAGTAGCTTGATTGTATTAATGGCAGAAAATTGATTACAAAAAGATAAGGGAATTTTCGAGAGATCCCTTGCACTCCTAGGGCTCCTTCTCTCAGAAGTTTGTACAAAATGATTCGATACCCTCTTATTCCACTCCTTATTCTATTTATACTCCTAACTCCTATTCCTTACACTAATTCCCAGCCTAACTAACTAACTAACCCCTGCTGACTCAACCTCTTTCTCATTCATTCCATGAGTGCTTTCCTCCACCTCAGCAACCTCTTGAGTTTCAGCTGCCCCCTTGACTCGTGAAGGCGTTTCTTCCGAGCGTATGTAAAACGCACGGGAGGCTTATCATTACCCCCGCCCCAAAGACGCACCTTGTCCTCAAGGTGAAAATGAGGAAACTGTGCATCAATGGCAGCATATGATTCCCACGTATCCTCGTGGGCCGGTAGATGAGCCCAACGAATCAATACTTCGAGATCATTGCTGCTCCCATGAAGTGCACGTCGTATCCCCAACAGGTCAGCCGGCTCCGCGCACAACTCCAAGTCACACGTCAACTGAGGCGGTAGAGACGAAACAGCCTGCTCCTGCCCCAACGCCTTACGCAAATGAGAAACATGAAACACCGGATGAATGGAGGACGACTCCGGCAAGGCCAAGCGATAGGCAACCGGCCCCACACGATGCGTGATCTTGAAAGGCCCATAAAAATGAGGACTCAACTTTTCATTCTGACGGCGAGCCAAAGAGACTTGTCGTTAAGGACGAAGCTTCAGGTACACCAATTCACCCACGGCAAATTCCACATCCCTTCGTTTTCCGTCCACTACTGCCTTCATCTTCTGTTGAGCCCGAAGAAGGTGGAACTTAAGTAAGTCCAACATGGCATCACGATCCTGCAGCTGCCGCTCCACCGAATCCACCGGTGAGGTTCCCACACTGTATCACAACAAGGGCGGAGGAAGTCGGCCATAAACTGCTTGAAAAGGAGTCATACGGGTAGCAGTGTGGAATGAAGTGTTATACCAATATTCGGCCCAAGCCAACCATTTTCACCACTGCCCGGGCTTGTCGGAAGACACACACCTCAAATACGTCTCTACACACCTATTTACTACTTCAGATTGCCCATCGGATTGCGGATGGTACGCAGTACTGCGCGACAGAGTAGTACCCATCTGTTTGTGTAGGTCAGTCCAAAAACGGCTAAGAAAAATGCGGTCACGATCCGATACAATGGTCCGAGGAACTCCATGCAACCGCACAACCTCCTGAATAAACAACTTGGCCACCTTCTCTGCCAAAAAAGGATGCCTCAATGCAATGAAGTGACCATACTTGCTCAAGCGATCCACCACCACTAATATTGTATCAAACCCCTCCGAACGCGGTAAACCCTCAATAAAATCCATAGACACATCCTCCCACACCTGTTCGGGAATGGGCAAAGGCTGCAATAACCCACCGGGTGCCAATGTAGACGCCTTACAACGTTGACATATCTCACATTGCGCCACATACGCGGTAACATCTCGTTTCATTCCAAGCCAAAACCAATCGGCTCCAAGACGGCGGTAAGTCTTCAAACCCCCCGAATGTCCTCCCATCACCCCGTTATGGTAGGAATGTAACAAACGCTGCACCACTGAAGAACCAAGGGCAACCACCATTTGCCCTTTATACCATAAGCGGCCATGTCGAATAGAATACCCCGGGTATGCTGCCGGGTTGTGGGGTAAATCCGACCATATTTTCGTGAGCCGTTCATCTTGCAACACTTGTCGATGGATTTCGTCGGTATTGACAAAAGTAGATGCCGTCATAGTGGCAACAACCGGGCTGACCACTAGTCGTGATAATGCATCCGCGGCTCGATTTTCTACCCCAAGACGATATTGGATCTCGAAATCATACCCCAGCAACTTGGTCAACCATTTCTGATGTTCCATGGTAACTAGACGCTGCTCGAGCAAATACTTGAGGCTACACTGATCCGTCCGAATCAAAAAATGGTGCCCAAGTAGGTACGGCCGCCACTTTTGAACAGCTGGAACAATGGCCATCAACTCCCGTTCGTAAACGGACTTGCTTCGTGCTTGGGGAGCTAGAACCTGACTGAAATAAGCGATAGGGCGTTGTTCTTGCATCAACACAGCCCCCACTCCAAATCCAGAAGCATCGGACTCAAGAACAAATGGCTTAGTGAAATCCGGCAAGGCTAGCACCGGTACGTGTGTCATAGCATGCTTCAACATTTCAAAAGCCTGCATCATCCCCGTATCCCAACGAAAACTGTCCTTTCGGAGCAAGTGGATCAAGGGCCCTGCAATTTGACTATAACCCGCCACAAACTTTCGGTAATATCCCGTCAATCCGAGAAATCCCCACAAGTCCTTCAAGTTGGCAGGAGGCGGCCAACTAACCATGGCCTCTATCTTAGTCGGGTCAGCCGAAACTCCTGCCGCAGACACAATATGGCCAAGGTATTCAATTGAATGCTGCCCAAAACTACACTTCTTGGCATTAGCATATAGTTGATGTTGCTGCAAAACCGCCAACACCCGGCCAAGGTGGTCAACATGCTCCTCCAAGGTGTGGCTGTAAATGAGTATATCATCAAAAAATACAAGTACGAAGGAAAGCTCGTAGAACGTCGTTCATAAGCGACTGGAAAGTCGCCGGAGCATTTGTAAGACCGAACGGCATAACGAGAAACTCGTAATGGCCCTCATGTGTACGGAATGCCGTCTTAGGTACGTCCTCGGCCTTTATCCTGATCTTATGGTAGCCCGACTTAAGGACGATCTTGGAGAAAATGGTGGCCCCATGTAACTCATCCAAAAGCTCTTCGATCACCGGAATCGAAAAACGATCGGGAACCGTCCCCTTATTCAAAGCGCGGTAATCCACATAGAATCTCCAACTGCCATATTTCTTCTTTACTAACAAAACCGGACTAGAATATGGGCTAACACTGGGTTGTATTATGCCCGCGGCTAACATCTCCCCAACCAACTTCTCAATTTCCGATTTCTGTATATGAGGATATCGGTACGGCCTCACACTTATAGGGGCAGTCCCTTCCTTCAGCACGATGGCATGGTCCTTGGACCTAACCGGTGGAAGCCCCACTGGCATTTCGAACACCTGCCCATATTTCCTCAGCACTGTTTGCAAATCCAGAGGAATTCTCACTTCTTTGACCGATTGGTCCAACCCGAGAGATCCTAACTCTACCCAAACCCCTTGTCCCTCGTGTCTCAATGCTCTCATTAATGCCTTCAACATGACCGGGGACTTATTTAATCTAGGATCTCCTCTTAACGATACCTGCCTTTCCCCCAAATTGAACTTCATTACCAAAGTCTTCCAATTCACCGACATAACCCCTAAAGTCTCCAACCATTGGATCCCTAAAATCAAATCCGAACTCCCTAATTCCAGCGGCAAGAAATCTTCAACAATTTCAATATCTTGCAAGGAAATCAACACACCCCAACAAATGCCCTCTCCTCTCACGGCCACCCCGGTACCCATCACCACACCGTAACTCCCCGTTTTATCTACCGTTAAGTCCAATTTCCGTACCAAATCACAAGAAATGAAATTGTGGGTGGCCCCACTATCAATTAAAACAATTACCTCGCACCCATGGACGAACGCTTTGATCTTCATTGTTTTAGGTGCTGTCAGACCAACCACGGAATTGATAGATAATTCCACCATCTCTTCTTCCTCAGTCGCTTCTTCCCTTTCTGCCATCGTCTCTCCCTGGTCCTCCTCTTCCCGGACTATTAGAACTTGTAGCTCTCGATTTGGACAGCGGTGCCCGAAAAAGTATTTGCCGTCACAGCGGTAACATAGTCCTTTCCCTCTCTTCGCCTGTAGTTCAGCGTCGGTCATCCTTTTGAATGGCGCCGCTCCAGTTCCAACTCTTGGGTCATGGTTATTTGTTCTCTTTTCCTCTGGAAGCTTCACCCTCTCAGTCGGTGCTCACTGGAAACGAGATATACTTCCAAAACCGGAAGTCGTCTGGCTTACCTTAGTGTCGTTTGGCACAATTATTTTATGCCAATTCGAAGACTGTAGGCCTTGCATCTTTGGCCCGTACACTAGGAAGTTACGTTCCTCCACCCTCTGGGCCACCTCCATGATTCGGCCCAATCCCACCGGTTTGATCAACCGAATTTCAGCTTGAATCTCTAGTTTCAAGCCATTCACGAACGAGTTCTCCAGAACCTGCTCGGAGATGTCGCTCAACGGCGCCGCCAAGACCTCAAACTGTCTCTGGTATTCTCTCACCGTTGTTTCCTGCCGATGCGACAACAATTTCTCACACAAGCTACCTTCTTGCGTCGGTCGGAAACGCTCGAGGATCATCACTTTCAATTCCGCCCAACTCCGGATGGCTCGACGGCCATCTTCCCACTGAAACCACGCCAGAGCTTCTCCGTCGAGGCTTACCACTGCCACGTCCAATTTCTCGTTCTCTGATAATCCGTTCATCACAAAGTATCTCTCGGCCCTAAAGACCCATCCGTCGGGATTCTCTCCGTCAAACGTCGGCATTTCCACTCGCCTGGTCCGACAATCCATGCGAACTCCGAGTTCTCGCGGTGGCCTAACTCTCTCGCTCGTCTCTTCCCCCGGTGTCATCTGCCTCGTCGGAGCCTCCACCCCGGCTGTCTGGGCATCCCGACGTTCCTGGCGCTGTAAATTCATCAACTCCTCCATTCTTGCCAACAGCAAGCCCATACCTTGCTCCAGCCGAGGAATTTTCTTCAATTCCTCACGCATCTCCTCCAGTTCCCCCACGAATTCCTCTCTCGTACCCTCCGTCTTCTCCTTCTCGCGATCGTCTGTACATCTCGTCATACCAGGAAAGTTGCTCTGATACCAAATGTTAAGCTCCAAATCCACGGTAAGAAGAATTGAGACAGAATTCCAGAAGAAAATCTAACAGTAGCTTGATTGTATTAATGGCAGAAAATTGATTACAGAAAGATAAGGGGATTTTCGAGAGATCTCTTGCTCTCCTAGGGTTCCTTCTCTCGGAAGTTTGTACAAAATGATTCGATACCCTCTTATTCCACTCCTTATTCTATTTATACTCCTAACTCCTATTCCTTACACCAATTCCCAGCCTAACTAACTCACTAAACCCTGCTGACTCTGCCTCTTCCTCATTCACTCCACGAGTGCTTTCCTCCACCTCAGCAACCTCTTGAGTTTCAGCTGCCCCCCTTGACTCGGGAAGGCGTTTCCTCCGAGCGTATGTAAAACGCACGGGAGGCTTATCATCTCCACTTCTCCTTTAATCCTATGCACCAAACAGGTGCTACCTATTAATATGCATACTTTAGGAGTTGTATAGAAATTTTATAGTTTAACCTGAGCATTCTCTCTCTGCACAAATGTTTTACATACTTTAAAGTTCAATTGTTCAAATGGCAGTTAAAAGTGATGCATTTGTAATCTCTAACTTCTCTTCCTCTGTGCATTAGTGTGGTTGCAGATACATGTGTTGCAATGGATGAATGGGTCCAGAACCCCACTGCTCACACAGCTTTAGATGATATTCTCCCATGTGTGGACAACGCTACTGCCCAAGAAACCTTGTTACGGACCAGGGATGTCACCTACCAAGTTGTCAATGTGGTTGATACAGTCATCAACAAAGTCACAAACCTTGATATTCCGCCCAATGGATCACCCTTATATTTCAATCAGTCTGGTCCATTGATGCCCCTTCTTTGCAACCCGTTCAATGCTGATCTCAGTGACCGTCAATGCAACGCCAGTGAAGTACATCTGAATAAGGCTACTCAGGTAATATTGAATGAAGAACTTAAAAAAATTGGATGAGATGTGCACAAAAAGTAGTACTTATTGCTTGCCTGGTTGATGGTTAATTAATTTTAATATTTAGTTTTATTGTTAGGGACTTTTTACCTGCTTATTCATTATCAAGATTTCTTATTTCATTTTCATTTAGTTTCCTCATTGTTATTTGGATTATCTTTAAATTTAGTTGTTTGCAATTTTAATTCATTGAATGGTTGATGAACGTCTTTTTTTTTTTGTTTTGGAACATGCAATTTTTTCATGAGTATTTGCGCTCGACTGAGAAAAGGCAGTAAACTTTTGGTTTTCAGTTTTTCTAGATTTCTATCCATATCTTGCAGGCTTGGACTTGTAGGTCTAATGGATCAGATCTGTCATAAACCAGTCACAATGTCTCTTTACCTTTCTTTTTCCATAACTTGGTGGATGTTGTTTACATAGAGAACTTTCATTTTGTTTTCAAATAGGTCTGGAAGAATTATGTCTGTGAGGTCTCTGCATCCGGAATCTGTGCCACACCCGGACGGTTAACTCCCTCCATCTATGGGCAAATGGAGGCTGCAGTAAATGTGAGCTATGGTTTGTATCGGTACGGTCCCTTCTTGGTTGACCTACAAGACTGTACTTTTGTGAGGCAAACATTCACAGACATCAGCAAAACCTACTGTCCCAGCCTGCGACGACATAGCCAATGGATCTACATCGGGTTAGTAATGGTCTCTTCTGCAGTAATGCTGTCACTGATCTTCTGGGTTATCTACGCGAGGGAGCGAAGGCACCGTGTATATACGAAGCAGTTCAATGCCAGAGCTGCCGGAGAAGACCCAAACAAGGCTGCATAGACATCTACTCCAATCATGCTTTGTTGGCTGAAAGTTCTTTCTTCGTGATATGTATATTTTGAGTGAAACTACACAATCAGGTTTGTACATTATGCGAGTTATCTATCCCTTTTGGGTTTTGATTGTGTGAAGTTTTTAGCTGACAAGCTGTTATTAATGTTTCCAATAGCTCCTTGAGAAAGGGCTGAGTTATGGGCAACTTTTGTGCCCATTAGGAAGAACAATATTTTAATACCAGTCTCAAAAGATCACTAGGCTTTTTGCCCGCACGCGTTGCTACGGGAAAAATTGTTTTATTATAGAAGAAGTCATGACTTTTTACATTACAGTATTAATTTATATATACATACACATATATATTTATTTAAAGGTCTACTAAAAAAGTTTATATACATACATATATATATATATATATATATATATTTGTTTAAAGGTATAGTAAAATGGCTTGTACTTAATATTACATTTTTTGCTTTTCTATTTTTGATGGTTCTTCGGAGCTGGAGCTGCAAAATAAAATTTTTTGAAAAGTACTGTATTCATCACATTAGGAAAAGAATAATAAATAGAACTCCAGACCTCCTCTCATTTTGGCTTAAAACCGAATAGTAGAGGAAAGGCAAGGGAATAAAATGATCAAAGAAATAATAAGGGGCAAGACTTTACTTGTAATAAAGTGACGAAAAAAATCCAGTCTAAAAACATATGACAAAATAAGTTACCAAGAGGAAAATTGTAAAAAGAAATTATAAAACAGAAAAAACCAAAAATATTTAATTCAAAAACAGATGTAAGGGTTAAAGACTCAAAGAAAGATTATACAATTGGAATGTATGGCAAAAGAAAACCAATAAGCTACTGGACAGGAAAGGAAAAAGCGAGAAAAAAAAAAGAGAAGAAAATAGCAATATAAATAGCTCAAACTAAAGAAAAGAAATAAAAGCACAAATACTGAAAATGGAAAGTAATTGAAAACCTCAAAACCATGCTATATAAATAAATACACTTAGATTCAATTATTAAAAAGAAGGAGAAGAGAAGGTTAAAAACAGTTTAACACTATGAGCAGATCATAATACAAACTTGTTGGTATTGGTTTAAGTCTTTTAACACTTTATAAGGTAATATAAATAATGTAGAAATGTAAAATAAAAGAACACAAGAGAAATTGTATCGCGGTTCGGTAACAACCTACTCTGCGGGGTCACGCCCAGATGATGAACAATCCACTAAGAACTCTTTTACAATTCAATTAGACTTAATCTACCCGATACTCCCTCTCTAAGAAGATGCCTATGAACTTGCAATTTCTCAATGGACTTGAACAGCGAGATCCCCTCGATTTTTTAACATTGAAATCCCTCCAACTAAGTTTTTCTTTCGAAAAACACTCAAATCATCTTTCTTGAATATAAGTGCTCACCTATCTCACAACCCAGCAAAAACTAATCAAAAGGTGTACAATGAACCGAGAGACTCTTTGAATATATAAGCAGAAAGTTAACAACTTGACGACCTCTTCAATTAATTCACTGAACCAAATCTGTTGCAGATCCCTGTTGCAACAATAACTGCAACATAGCAGTCAAGGTCGACTTTCTCAAAACCAATCCGAATCAATCTGCTATGATTCTGAAACCTTTCCGAAGCTGATATATGAACCTGGAACACGTTCTTAGGAGACAGAAGAAGATCATCTAGCTACGAAAACTCAATCAAATATCAATCAAATCACTAATTAACAATTTACCATCTTAGGATCAATAGTTGACTGGTGCTCAACGATACATTGGTGACTAGCAACATTAGTTTTCTAGATGTTATGAAATTGCACAATGGTAGTGAGAGAGATGGAAAGATTCCAAGTTTTTTTCCGTAGAAAATATCGATTATTCTTGTAATTATTGTAATTACTAATAATCACTGTGGCAATTTGTAATAACTGTTGATGCGGCAGTGATGTAGAAGAAAATAATCAAAATGAATGCTATTTAAGAAATGTAATTTTATTACTTAACCCAAGATTCAAATGTGAATTTTTAGAATCATCTTCCAGTTTTTTTTTTGTTTTTTGTTTTTTTTTTCTGTGTTATTATTTTCCTTTTCGGCAAGCTATGATTGCCTTGAATGATGAAGGATTAACCATGCTCTGAAATTTCACAAGACAAAAAATGCCAACTAAAAAGCTCATTTCTATCTTCCATCTCAGGTAATAAACAATAATTTTCCTGCTTTCCTACAAAATGATCATCCTTGGTCATGAGTGCAGATTACGTGCCTCTTTAAGCAAAACCAAGAAAAGAGTCACTTAATTTTAGTCCTATATCATCGAAGTCAATAAGTTTTGCAGAGAGTCCTACGGTGTTAAGCAAATATCGTCATTCCATTTCACCACCGAAGAAAAAAAAAAGAAAAAAAACCTCATCCTTGAAGAAAGAATAGCGAAGTGTTTTAAGTGTGAATAAAAATAGGAAAAGTAAGGAAACAAATAATAAATTTACAAATTATTACAAAAAGAAAAAAACCCCTTAAAAATCATTAGACATTGGACTTCTATTCCACTACTCTTTTCTTAATCAACCAATTAACTGAAATACTGAATCCCATATTGAATTTCCAGTCCTTGGCAAACATCAACAAATGTTTGAAAAGTGGAAGAACCTTATCCCCAAAACTGAAATTTTCAAATAGCTAAACAAATACTACCTTCTTAAAAAAGTAGGTATGGTTTATCTAAGTAATAAACAATCATTATTGATTAAAATGAACCACAAGCCACGCTGAACTACAAGACAAAAATCATCATATCATATATAGGAAAAAAGTGACCACAATTTTGTGGCTCCAAAATTTTCAAACTTACGTGACAATCTATGTTTCTAATGCCACTTACCAAAATGTAACAAAGGGTTTGGGTGGTATGTCTTTGTCCCAAAACAATGAAGATTCAAATGCAGTTTTGCTCATGCCGACCTAATTCCGTGTCCAAACTTTTGTGACGTTTAGGAGATAAGGGGGTGAACTGTCCGTTTTTGTTATTTGGAGATCCAATTTTGTAAATGGCGAAACTTCGTTTGTCATACCCAACCGACTTTGGAACTGCCTGAATTCAGGCCCACATATAGCAACCTTGTGTCAAACAAATTACTATTCTTATTATTAATATTAGTCTTAATAATAATAATAATAATAATAATAATAATAATAATAATAATAATAATAATAATAATATTAATATTAATATTATTATTATTATTTTTTAAGAAAATTTTATTCTAAATTCAAATAGGAGATATTAACAAATTTTATCTTTGAGATAAAGATTCGATTCCTTCTAAAAATTTGACTTTGACTTCTACTTTATAAATAAAGAGATAGTTTTGCTCTTAATTTTATAGAATGGCCGGTTTCACAAGTGTTGTGAGAGGAAAAATTTTTCTCAAAAAATTTCATGTCGTGCATGCGTTGATGTTTGTGGAAATTCTTGAGTGTTTTTGTTAACCCGTTTTGTTTCAGGTGTACCCACACACACGTCTTCGTAGATTCAAGGAATTGACGAGGAAGACTCGTGTTTTCTAAACAAAGCATTGGAGTGAGGATTGTTCGAGGTCAAAGAACTCAAGTTATCATCTTAATCGATCACTGGGTATAATTCCTATACGAGTTCTTAATTAATAAATTAATGTAATTAATTTATTCGTGCATAAATTAATATAATCTATAGAGTATCTCAAAGATTTTATGAAAATTTTTGTTATACACGATCCGCTAACCCCACACTTCCGCATCCGAATTCGATTCGAAAACCAACAAGTTTTGTTTAACGAGACTTGATCGCACTCAATCTTTATGTGTAGCAAGCCTTTTCTCATTGGGTCTCAACACTTTTTTGGTCATGTGTTTTATCCGTCTTTATTAGTAGATCCAGTTAATATTCGGAATCAAATTTTATTATAAGTGGTGCTCACTTGTGACTAATGTTATTTTAATGAAATGAATTTTTTCGGGGAAAAAAAAAAGAAAAAAGAAATACCGTATCATATGATAAACCCGTGAAATGATTGTGTTTTGTCGTAGTACTTGAAACTTACGGCAACTCATATTTATCTTTTCAAGTGTCTATTAATTAAAACATAACATCTATTAATTAATACATAACATTCTTTTGTTAAAATTTCCATACACAAAATGTATATTTTACCTTATCTTATTCTTTATTAAGATGTAATTTTGTTTAGTTTTGGAATTACATGCTAGCGTTAAGACAATTTGAAGGTTCCAAGAAAGTAGTTATCCAAACAAAGAAAAGTCTACAAGAACGTAATCGGCAACCTCTCATTCATATTGTCCCTTCCAAAAAAATAAATAAAATAAATAATTGTGCCTTGTCTCAATTCTATTGGACCACAAGGCTATTTAAAAGTATGTCCTCTTACGGTAAAACAAATGTATAGACAGCAATTGGCAAGCTGTCCTTCATACATGGCTCCACACTCTCCAAAGTAATTAACTTGATGTTATTATCAACAATGAATTAAGTAAAACTCTTTTAACTTATACATACGATGTGGACAATTCTACCCTTCAAAGCTAGATGGAGGACCGGGTCTACAAACCAGGACAACTTGGGAACATAACTGCACATTCCTAAAATAAGAGAATTCTTGAACGCCCCCAATATTACGCATGATACCATTCTATGAATCTATATTAACTTACATACCAAACTTCAAAAAACAAAACGGTCATCAAGGTACTAAAATCACAACCCACCATTACGTTCTATTAACCCCAAAAGTCCACAACCACTAAACCCTCCCACAACTTTGGAGCACTCGACAATAGGAGGAAAGAGAATTTCAGGAACTCTTTCACACCCAAAGATTCCTTCTTCACATATTATTTCCAATTCCATGGCCTCAAAAAATGCACCCTCTAATCCAAAACGACATGTCGTTAGCCACACATGCCTGTGTTCTCCCACTACACACCCAGGCTCCTTCAGGTGCAGTCTCCACAGGAACCCCCACAACCACAAGCCCAGAATCTCTTCAACGGTTCGGGTGTCGTCCGGTCGTTGGAAATTGGCTGTGGTCGAAAAAGCCAATTCAATCAGAGCCCTTCTTCTCCAGATCATCAAGCCGTCAAGCCATGATCTTCAGAGGAGAAGAAATTTCCAGCCCAAGCCCAGCAGGTTTTGCTTAATGGATAGAAACAGATCAGATGGGCTTGCAGTTTCTTGATCGTAACTGTAAATGTTTTGAGTCCTTTTTTGGTTTTTGTTTTTGAGTTGTTTATTTCTACAAATTAGATCAGAAAGT